AATTTATCAAATTTTGTAAATTTTTGGTATTTTTTTTATATTAAGGGTTTTTAACCAAATTTAAAGTCCAAATTACTATTAATTAATTCACATAAGTGCATTTAAGATATAAAATGCCAAAAAAACCTTTAAGGGGTTGTCTGAGTTATGTAAAAAAAAAATATAGCACTGTAAATCTGATGGTCAGCAATATATACATAAGCTAAGCAAGTTTTAGGGAAAAAAAATTCTATTTCCTCATTTCCCTAGTTCTCTTCTGGCCCTTTGTTGTTATTTGCAGTTAAACAATCTCTGCCCCTCCCCCCTGCAAAGGGGGTGAATACAAGTGCTGCTCTGAGTGACATGTCTGACTACTGGGATACTCAACAGCATGCTGTATGTGTAAGCCTCAGCCCTGAGTCTGTGCTTCTAATGGTAGAATGGGTTAATCTTTCCTGAAAAATCCAGTGGGAGGGAGACACAGGGCAGATAGCAGCAGCTCCGGTCAGTGCAGGGGGGCGTGGCAGCACTGTGACGTCTCGTGTACAGTCACAGAGCTGCTCTCTCCTGCAGTCCACACTTCGCACGAATCATCATCAGGTTCTTGGTTCTAGGCTGTTCACACTTTTTCATCGCAGTTCGTGTTAGCTCGTCATTCTTCAACCGTTACGTTATGGCTTCGCGAAAGTGTATTAATTTGCCAGACAGTTTCTGTTTCATGTGTGGTGAATATACAGTGTTGAAGCAACAGCAGAATATTACAGACTTTGTGAAAAAAGTATACTTTGCATACTTTGGACTAAAAATTGGAGATCAAGATAAAGTTTGGGCGCCTCATAAAGTGTGCAAACGGTGTGTTGAGGACCTCCGAAATTGGTTCAAGGGTAAGAAAAAATCTTTCTGTTATGGGATTCCTATGGTATAGCGAGAGCAAAAGAACCATAGTGACGACTGTTACTTTTGTTCACGCGATGTGAAAGGGTTTAATTCCAAATGGAAGCATTCCATTTCATACCCCAATCTTCACTCAGCAATTCATCCCATCCCCCATGGCACAGATATACCAGTACCCAAGCCCCCTGCTACCTTGGAAGAGATACCTAGCTCGGATGAAGGTGAAGTCATCGATGTCGAAGGTCTGATGGGTCAATTTAAATCCAATATGATTCAGAGCAATGGCGTCTTTTTATAGATTCTTCAAAAAGAAGTCTCAAAGCAGTTTTACTCCACAACGGTGGTTTTTTACGCTTCCATACCTGTAGGTCATTCCGTACACTTGAAGGAAACCTACGAGAACTTGGAATTGGTTCTTCATAAACTTAAATATGAAGACCATGGTTGGCAATTGTGTGGGGACTTGAAGGTCTTGTGCATGCTGTTCGGGCAACAAGCTGGGTATACCAAATACCCTTGTTTTCTGTGTCTATGGGACAGTCGAGACCGACAAAATCACTGGACCAAGAAGAGTTGGCACCCAGGGGTGCTAACAGTCGGTGAAAAAAATGTCCTCCGAGAAACTTTGGTACCTTCCCATAAAGTTCTTCTACCACCTCTCCACATAAAATTGGGATTGATGAAGCAATTTGTAAAATCACTTCCAAGAGATGGAGAATGCTTCAAATACTTGGTCACCAAGTTTCCAGGCCTGTCGGAGGCAAAATTGAAGGAAGGTGTGTTCGTCGGACCAGACATTAGAAGGCTTATAGTTGATCAAGAGTTTGTCAATACCATGACGGATCCTCAAAAAGAAGGGTGGATTGCATTTAAAGAAGTCGTACAGAAATTTTTAGGCAATAACAAAGATCCTCACTACAAAAGGATCGTTGGACGAATGCTGAAAGCATTTCAAGCCTTAGGTTGCCTGATGAGTTTGAAAGTGCATTTCCTCCAGTCCCACCTTGACTACTTTCCTGAAAATTTGGGAGCTGTGAGTGAGGAACAAGGTGAACGATTCCACCAGGACATTAAAGAGATGGAAAGGAGATACCAGGGAAAATGGAGCATTACAATGATAGCAGACTACTGTTGGATGCTTCAGAGAGACATTCCAGATGCTACTCACAAGCGTAAATGCACCAAGAGGAGCCTCACAGGGAAGAAGAATCGAGTTTAGTGTGTGTAGGTGAGCTAATTTAAGTTCAAAAAAGGATTTTCATAAGAAAAAATTGTAACAAAACTTTAATTTTATATGTCTATTTCCATTTATTTTGAGGTATTGCCTTATTTAACATAGTTACCTAAATTGTCAGGAAACGTGATGTCCTATGACAAAATGGAGGTCATTTTTGGATTCAGCGTACCAAACAACATAAAGATTATGTGGAATAACCAAAACAGCTCTTGAAAAACATTTTTTTGTAGACCTGTGTTATTTCTATCAAAAGAGATGCATGTGTTGCTTGTGATAAGAATAAAAGTGATTAAAATATTTTTTAAAAGGGACAGTGCAAAAAAAAAAAAAAAAAAATGTAAATTAAATTAAAAAAAAGAGGTTTAACGTGCCACCGTCCCCCCCCCCCCCCCATGCTCACACATAGTGGTGAATGCATACGTAGGCCACGCCCATATATGTAAACAGTGTTCAAAGCACACACGTGAGGTATCGCTAAGAACATCGGAGCATGAGCAATAATTCTAGCACTAGACCTCCTCTGTAACTTTACACTGCTAACCTGTAGACATCTTTAAAGCATCACCCATGGAGATGTTTAAGTACCGCAGTTTTCAACGAGCGTACGCAATTTTAAAGCGTGACATGTTGGGTATCTGTTTACTCGCCGTAACATCCTCTTCATATTTTACAAAAACATTGTATATATTGTGTTTTTATTTGCTTTTTCAATCAAAGTGTATTTTTTAATAAAAAATATATATTCATTTTTAAAAACTCCGCATTTCGGTTTCAGTTTTTAGCCAAGTGCATTTTGAATTTTCGGTTTCAGCACCAGAATTTTCATTTTGGTGCACGGCAAGTACAAACGGAAGTGATCTCTGTGGCAGGAGTGTTTTGGCATTTCAAAATGAAAAAAACATACATTTACAAGCGGCAGAACAACCGCCCGTGTGAAAGAGGCCTTAGGACTGGAAACCTTTAACCTGGAAGCAATGCGTTTACATGATTCTGTTCCTGAAACAAATGCTCAAGGCCACCATTAGAGGGAGCTGGAATAAGAAAGAGACATGTTTTGGTTTGAAGGAACAGTCAGACCTTCTTCATTTCTTCGGTTCCCTCGACTGATGGTCAGGAAGAGCTGCTGCAGAAGAGATCATAACTCCAGGACGGAGATCTCTACATCTGAAACTGCTTGTTTTCAGTAAATCTGGTAGCCCTTTCACTGCCTTTTTCAAGCAGGCTGCAGGGAAAAATAAGAATAAAGGATATATACTGAGAGAATGCTAATCATTTATGGATCAGTTTGGCTTGGATTGCATCTGTAAATGTTGGCAAATGTGACTTTGTAGCTAGCATGGGCAAGGCAAGAGAGAGCCAAGCAACTAGCATTTTCAGAAAGAGGTCAGCAGTGACATTGTCCACAGGGTTCATTTATATAACATTTTTATTTGAGCAGTGTAATAAAGTTGAAATGGCTGTCTACGTTATCCGTTTACATTTCTAAAGACAGACATGTTTGACATTTGTGCTCTTTTTACTATAAAATCAATGGAATTTCCTCAGATTTTCCAAATTGTTTTTAGATTAGCCTCATAACGATGCATACATTTTCAAGGCAGATGTGTTAGGATCATAGGTCTTTCAAACTTTAACATTTTCAGTTTTGTGACATTAGGTATAGAAACACTAAGTTACACAAGTTAAGTGTATCATTCCCCATTCTGCAGACAGGTATAGGTATAGGTGTGGAATATACATATGCTGCCTCTTGAAACGTGTCAGTTTTCCTTTTAACTGTCCTCTTCTCTGGCACTTTTAACAGAGAAACAACTAAGAAAGATAGCTAATCTGCAGATGGTACGGTCAGCTCCAAACCAGCAAGAACGAGTGGTCAGTGGCTTTTGTGGGTTTCAGATTATACATATGCAGCCTATAGCGTGTCTGTTATTATACTTACTGTATGTACTATACTAGCTTTCAGCAAAGGACATGATGGTTTCTCCATGCCAGCCTTTCTCAACCTTTTTAACACTTAGGAACTCTTGAAATTTACTTTCCTTTCTCAAAGAACCTCTATCAATAGTTACTTTATCTACAGCCCACTGATTATTGGCTTGGGGTCAGATGGAAGAATGCTCTTTATTTTTGAGATCAGTGGAAGGAGTCCCTCCTTACAGATAGCTCAAAAAAGATCATTTGTCAGTAGTTGCTAATCTGAGAGATAGAAAGTACTCTTTGCTCAAGGAACCCCTTGCAACCTCTGGAGGAACCATACAGTTCCTCACACCCCTGTTTGAGAAAGTTAGCTCTATACTATGTGTAGTATTACTAGTTAGCTGACAAATATACATATTGTATGTATTTGTAGCTGATGGTATAGTTGCCAGTGTCTACTTTAAATAACCACTAATATAAACAAGCTGGTGATATTTAGATGGAGAAGCTACTGGTTTCTTCAACATGGCTTTTGGAATACATGGCATACTCCTCCACACTTACGCTTCTTTGTTTTCTCCAAGAGCTACAGCTTTTTACAGTTTTAGTTATGTAAGTTTTAAATGTCGTCCCCATGTATGCATATATTAATGGGTTGAGGCAGCAGTGGAGTAAGGCCATGCTCCTTGTCACTTGCATCATTAAGTCAATGGTTCTGCTGGTCTCAAAAAAAGATCATTTGTCAGTAGTTGCTAATCTGAGAGACAGAAATTGCACTTTGCTCAAGGATCCCCTTGCAACCTCTGGAAGAACCATACAGTTCCTCACACCCCTGTTTGAGAGAGTCAGCTCTATACTATGTGTAGCATTACTAGTTAGCTGACAAATATACATATTGTATGTATTTGTAGCTGATGCTATAGTTGCCAGTGTCTATTTTAAATAATCACTAATATAAACAAGCTGGTGATATTTAGATGGAGAAGCTACTGGTTTCTTCCACATGGCTTTCAGAATACATGGTATACTCCTCCACACTTTCAGTTCTTTGTTTTCTCCAAGAGCTAAATCTTTTTACAGTTTTAGTTATGTAAGTTTTAAATGTAGTCCCCATGTATGCATATAGTAATGGGTTGAGGCAGCAGTGAAATAAGGCCATGCTCCCCGTCACTTGCATCATTAAGTCAATGGTTCTGCTGGTCTCACATCTTGTAATCAGTCCATATATGATATCCAAGGCTCTCCATAATTTGGTTACATTGTATGGAAACTGGGTGATCAGAAAGACTCCTACTACTGTCAGCAATACCTTGAGGGACCTTGACCTTTTAATGTTTGGAGTCTTTAGAAGAACCTTGGCCATTGCCGTGTAGCAAAACAACATGATTAAAAAAGGTATTACAAAACAGAAGACAATCTCCAGGATTTGAATTAAGGCTGTAACTTCCTTTACAGAATCTTTTGGATATATTGGAAGACATGCATGTTTGCCATTGTGCTCCTTCACTTCACTGAAATATAAATCAGTGATGCTCAGCATCAGGGAAGTGGTCCAAACAAAAATACAGATTGCCCAGCATCGTTTTTTGAAATTCTGTTGGCTTGATGCTTTGGTCACTGCAAAGAATCTGTCCAAGCTAATGCAAGCCAGGAATTGCATTCCTGAGCTGAAGTTTATAGTATACAAAGCTGCAGTTATCTTGCACATTGCGTTTCCCAATTTCCACCCAATTGATGCATCCACAGCCCAGAAAGGAAGGGTGAAAAGCAGCAACAGATCTGCCACTGCTAGATTCAATAGATACACATCAGTCTTGGTCCTCATCTTTTTATAGTAGGCATATATGGCAACTACTAATGAATTCCCAGCAACTCCAAGAATAAATGCCACTGAATAGAAAACTGGGAGGAATACTTCAGCAAACCTCCGGATGTCATGCTTTACACAGAGTTCTTCATAATGTTCATAATCAAAAGTTGTGTCTTTGTAGTCCTCATAGTTTTCTGTTGTTGTCATTAGTGTTGTATTATTCTGTTCCTTCATTCTGCAGTTTCTGAAAGGAAAAAATGGTTTATTAGAGTGAAGTGATCATACAAGTACAATTCCTACACAAAACAGAATACTCCTATACAGGGGCGGACTGACAACTCATGGGGCCCCCGGGCAATAGGGGATCATGGGGCCCCTGTGTCCTTGCCCAAACTCAAAAAAGCCTATGAAAAAGGTACCAGGGGCATCTCATGGGGCCCCCTACTGACCCCGGGACCTTGGGCAGTGCCCGAGTTTCCAAATGGTCAGTCCGCCGCTGCTCCTATAGTTCTAAGCTATAATTTAAGGCAAAAGACTGTCAGATGTAGTCCCAGAAGGAGTTCTAGTATTAGACATAACACCTGACATTTCATCATTGTTGCAGAATTCAATCACCAAAAAATAACCTTGCCCCTTTCCTACATGGTGTTGTAGTTGGTAAAAGAGCTTTAGAGCCAATTTAAACATTGAAGTGGAACTTCACCCATGAAAACTTGATAAAAAATAATGTTATGTAGCAAAAAACATACATTTCATAATAACAATTAAGTTACCAAAATGAGTGTGTGCTGTAAATAGTCTTCAGCATTGTTCCGGTTTCTCCTTCAGTTTTCCTGAAGCCCAGAGCCACTGAGCAGCATTAAGCCTTTAGGCCCCCAGCAGATCAGCCTCTACATTTTCAGCACAGTGCCTATAAATTAAGAGCAACTGGGCATGTGCCAGGGTGAAATAGTGTATTACTGGATTTTAAACAGTATAGGCACTTATACAGTATTTAACCCCTTCCTGCTGAGTGTACACAAATATGCGGTCACTGTTAGAGTAGGCTTCTATCCATGGGGCCTCCTATTTATGTATCTGTCTTTGTGCTGGGAGAGTGCCGCATTCCGCAATCCCAGGGACTGGGGTTTCACTTAGAGCCCCGGGTCCCATACTAGCGATCGGGACCCAGAAATCCAGATTCTAAGTCACCTGATCACTGTGATAGCCTCTGATTGGCTATCACAGTGATCAGTCACTGTGAAGCCCACCCCTATGTTTTATTCTCTGAATGTAGGAGAGAGATACATTGTATCTCTCTATCCCCTAAGAGAGGAAAAAAAAGTGTGTAATAATAATAATTTAAAAAAAAAAAAATACAAGGTTTGATCTAGGTCAGTGCCAAGGTTAGTGTTTGGGTCAAGGTTAGGGCTAAAGACCAGGGTCAAAGGTCAGAGTAATTTTTTTTTCTTTTAAACTAGTATCAGTGTAGGTGTGTTTTTTAGGTAGGATAAAAAAAAAAAAATGAAATGCGCACCTTTGTTTCTGGGCTGTACTACAAGTACAAACAACAACTAACATACACGTATTGTTGCAATCGTCAGGAACAGGATAATTTATTCTGGGTTCTTCTTTGGTGGTAGGTTATGGTAGTAGCAAAAAATATAGAGCTTAATTTTAAAAAAAATTTATTTTTGTTTTATCATTTTGGGCCAGTTTTCCTTTGATAAAAAAAATCAGGAGATATTCATTACCATTTACCACCAACTGAAAGCCTAATTTGTCCTGAAAAAAAACAAGGTATAATCCACCTGGCTGCACAAAGTAGTTGTGTGATGATATATACGGTTTTACTGACACATGTCATAGTTGCAAAATTGTGCTTAGGCATTACCATTTGTTTTGCCCTTAGACACAAAGGAGTTAATGCTTTACATAGCTATACCTGCAAAAGGAGCCAGCCTGAAGTTATCTAGAACATCAATTTTTGACTAAGTTCCATTTAAAGAGTAGGTGTATGGACTGTCCTTCCTGTCCCATGAGAAATGACCAATCAGATATGACCCAGAAAGTTGTTTTAGTTCCATACATCCATTTAGTTATTACTACATGTGAGTTATACAGATTTTGGGGCTAACTGGATTCAATCAAGATTTCACTTTAAATTAACCTCAGAAGATGCAATATTCATGTGTTTCAGTGATTAAAGGAATGAATGGGAAACCTTAGCTGTATGTGTCCCTTGAATGAACTACTTGTTGGAAAGCCTAACTTTCTACATTTTTATGGCAAGACTGTAACTATTGGTTTTTCTAACATGGAACTCCTTGCATAATTGGATATACTTTTGGTATAGATCTTGTAGGTATATTAAGCATGAATTAATTTTTACTGCACTCTGGGCTGCCCATCACAATATCAATGCACTTAGTGTGAATAGGTAATTCTAACTTTCAGATCATGTTTTAGGCTGCACTTATACTTATGGTTTAACAAAGAACTTGGTGCCATTCTGCAACATCAGACTGCCCCCCTTACTTGAATCCTGCATCATTCTCTGTATTTTTTAATTCAGTTTGACTGTCAGTGGCTTCCACCAAACAGCCATGTCATCCACTCACAGATCCTGCAAAAACTGCAAATCCTATCTGCCACTGTCTCTGCATTCCATGGTCCGTTGATTATTTTCTACACCTCCATAACTGAAGGTCTGTACCTCTTTACAGATCAGGGACTGGAGGAATAGTCTGCAGGAGCCTGTGCATTGCACCCTGCACAATTCTTTTTTCCATATGGGTACATTTATTGTTCCTGACCAAGCCTTTTTTTGCTATTCGGCGCTTGCACTAGTGGTATAACCACTCAAAGTCCAGTGATGTACCAGTCCTTGTTGGGTGTATATGCTATGTTCTGTTTTTTTTTTTTATGCAGTCTGTGGGCTCAATGAAAAAAAGAGAAGAAATCTCTGCCAGTGTGTGGTATGCCCACGATTAGAAATATACCGCCCTGCATCCACCCATTTCTAATGGTGGGCACACATGAAATATGCCAAAAAATATTCTAAAATATATATGCTGAAGTATAGGCGCCATCCACCCACTAGACACCCTAGGCCCCCATGCTTTGGCATATATGCTCTTTTTTTAACTACAGATGAAAAATTTCACCTAACAGCACTGCACACACCTACTTATGTATATTCTGAGAGCAAGACCCTGTTGCTGTCAGAATAAACAAGTCGGTGCTGCAGCTGAATAACATCCTCACTTCTCAAACAGGCTTTTCCCCCCTTTCTAAGATGGGTATTTACAAGCTGTTGGGGGAAGCCCCAGCAATTAGGTCGTGCGGTGCCACATGCGCCAATTCCAAGATTGTACAAATGTCTACATCATGGAAAGCTTGAATAAAAATTGTTCACGTATAAGTGGTATCCCATATGGAAAAAGGTGACACCAAATCCCAAACTATCTTGCCACTGCTCCCCATGTAGTCTGGGCATCCGGGGGGCTTCACGTGACTATCTTTTCCCTTGTAAATCCGAAACTTATATGTATAGCCTGTTGCCCTCTGACAGGTCTTATACATCTTGACCCCATATCTGGCACGCTTGTTGGGGATAAATTGTTTGAATGCAAGGGTGCCAGAAAAATTAATGAGAGACTCATCAACGTATGTGTTTTGCTGGGGAGTATAGACTTTTGCAAATTTTTTGTCAAGGTGGTTTATGAGGGGCCAAATTTTGTGGAGCTGGTCAAATTCAGGGTCACACCAAGGATGACAGAGTGTGTTGTCATTGAAATGCATAAAAAACATTATACTCTCATATCTATGCCTGGCCATGGCAGCAGAGAACATGGGCATGTGATGAATCGGGTTTGTGGACCAATACCACCGCAATTCATTTTTTTTTTTAGTAATGCCCATGTTGGGGGTTAGGCCCAAAAAAAACTTTAAATTCGGAAACTGTAATGGGTTTCCATGTGAATGGTCTGGCAAGGTTTGAATTTGAAAATTTGAAAACTGTTGTGCATATAAATTGCTTTGATCCACAATCAATGCATACAGATCTTCAGCAGAAAAACAGCTCCAAAGAATCAAGGGGAGTATTTAAATTTGCTGTTTCCACCTGAATTCTGGGTTGGGCAATGCATGATGGAAGTACGGGTGCTGCAGAATTTGTGGGCTACCAATCGGGATTTGCAAGCACATTCAGAAGGATACTAGGGGATCTATGGGCCTGTGTGTGAATTCTTGGTGGCTGCGGGTCACTACTTGTGCTCGCCACCTCACCAGCTTGTACTGCACTTATGGGTTTCGCCACGTCACCAAGTGATACTGCAGTGCTGGTATGTGAAAGAGCAGGATGTACTAGGCTGCTGGTGCTTTCCAGTTCACCAAAAGGTAGAGCAGCACTAGTACTGGCACTCTGCTGCATATGAGAGTCATCATGCGATTGTAACATCTCAGCAACCTGAGAACAGTGTTAGGTACCTGATCTTAGCAGGGACCTCTACTCCATCGTCTGAGCTATCTGTCAGGGTGCTGCTGCTGTCTACAGGATCGTATTCTGAGGCTGATTGTGTCAGTGAGTCTTCTCCTTCGCTCTCACCTGACATGCTCAGAATCCTGTAGAGTACCTTTCCATTGACATTTTGGCCACTAAATTTATAGGTACCTAGTGCGACTCACGGGAAAAAGAGCGCCTGGCTGTCAGACTGCTTGAACTGCTACAAAAAAAATCAAGAGATCAGGCCTGATTCTGCATACACTGTGGTTTTGTGTGCAGTGTATCAAGTGACAGTGACCTACTGACACTGCACTTGCTGGGGGAGAGGGGGGGTAAGCGTAGGAGCTAAAAGCAGGGCTGATCCCGCTAACGCTGCGTTTTTGGGGACACTATACTATGTGAACGCTGGTATAGTGCTGATCTGATCAAAGATATTGATCTGTTCAGACACTATACTAACAATGGAGGTTTATTGGGTATATGAGCGTGTTCCTGGCAAGCAAGGGGTTAAATGTGATTACTAGTGTACTGATGGGCAATCTGATGCTATCTGGGAGGGGTGTGAAAAACATGGGAGAGTGAATAATGCCTATATATGTGATTTTGCTCATCCGTGCCGCCCTGTAGCAGTATTTCTGCTATTGGGCGGTCGGGAAGCTGTTAACACTCACGGGGGGGATGATCAGTTTTTATTAATTTATGCAAAACCTTTATCCCAAAAGGAAAACAAGATACTGTTGCTGTAATTGCTTAACAAGTCTTAGCTGGAGT